CGCGCCGTGAGGGACCGTCGGCTGCCGAGTTGCAGAGGCCCGCCCGGTGTGGCTGCTTGTCTGCGTCCGCGCTTGCAGGCGGCAGCGGTTTGTTTGTTGTTGTTTTTTTTTTTACCCTGGTTCTCATTGTTTTCGGTGGAAATTCTTAAAAGGCTCTCTCAGGGCGGTTGGATCGCGTGGATACCCGTTGTAGAGGGGTTTAACCCCTCCCTGCCCCCCAGCCTTGACGTCTCCATGCACGGTACCTCATGTTTTAGCCAAAAAGAAGTCCTCTGTGAGCCCGGTGCTGGCGTTTGGGATCCGTTAGGTTTAACACACTGCAGGTCCCTGTAGTGGAGACAGTGTCACACAGCTCTGCATCCTTGTGGCACTGTTGAGCCGAGATCCTTCCACGCCAAGTAGCAAAACTCATGTACTTAGCTGTGGAAGCGGTGTCGCCCAACAACTGTCATTCCCTCTAGGGCTTTAGGCCGTGCTAACAGTGTGGCGGAGCTTTTTTGGTTAAAACCCTTTAGCTGCAGTATATAAGCACGCTGTACAACAGCATGAGGCCCAAGAATCTCAGCCCATGCTTCTGAATCCCAGCCTTCACGGTTAGTTGATGTGCCTGAAGGCTGGAAGAGTTCGGACGCCTGGCTGAGGCTGAGCTGGCACGTGGCCGACAAACCAGCAGCGCAGCGTAGCTTTTGGGGTCACTGCCAAGCATTAGGAAGTTTGGTTATCCTTTCACAGGGAGGTCAAGTGTTTTGCATGTACGCACTTTCACACACATATTTTCTGTGATGCTCGCAATTGGAAACAGATCAATATGATTGCATATGTCTTCATGTTATTCATAGCGCATCTTGGGATACCTAGCACCTGTATAATATCATACCTTTCTAAAGTACCACGCAAACAATTCCCGCTGCACTTTGAAGACGATTTTCCTGCTTTCCCCAGGCCCCAGCTTCCCTACTGCTAACAAAAAGATTTAAATGCTTTTGCAAGGTGTGGTACCCTGAGTCAGTGATCATACCTTAAAGCATCTTACTGTCAGCTGAAACTTATCTTCTAAATGTTACAAGAATGAGACTAGTGCTGGAATAGCAGTTGTCTTTTGGGTCCAGGAAACAGCCTTGTCTAGACAAGGTTGGAAGTCCTCTTTTTCTCCTATTTTTGCTTGTATGCAAGCATGGGATGTGTTTATTCAGAGCAGTGTAATCCAGGAAAGTGACTCTGGAAACGTGAGCTATGCACATATCTGTTCCTTTCCTGCAAATCACACTTCTTTCTTTACTTTTTTTTTTTTTGTAAGAGTAACAGGGGTGGGGAGACGAGCTGGTGGGGGGAGGGCAAGACTTGAGCTGGTTGCTAAAAGTCTTGCTGCAGGCATGGGATCTGTTTCAGATGACCTTCATCCTGAGCAGACAGTACGTGGGTGGTGTCGGCTTTGTATTCTGACTTGTCCTAACAACCAGTAATCCGATTATGTTTAGGTTGACATTGTGGACATCTATGAGTCTATCCGTGAAAGGCAGCGTCATGACAGCGAAAGGTCTACCTGCAGCACCTTGGAGCAGAACGACATTGAAGCCGTTGAAGCGCTTGTTTGCATGAGCTCCTGGGGTCAAAGATCACAGAAAGGTGACATATTAAAGATAAGGCCACTTACGCCCTTCTCAGATTCCGGTGATTTCACAATGCACACCGAGGCTACGTCTGAATTACCAAAGGACTATTTATCTACACTGGTAAGAAAAGCATGAATGCAAAATCAATATGCCTGACATCTGGGTGTTCCATCTCTGCAATGTTTTAACTTGGCTGGGAGAGGTAGCTTGCTCATGTGTCCCTGCGTAGAACAGCGACAGAGCAGCCAGTGCTGTGTGTGTGTACACAGAACAGTGAGGCGGGCATGTCGAGTTTGGGTGTTTCTGCTGTCTCTGGAATGGCAAATGTAGGGGTTTAATCCCTTGTTAGATCGAGGTGTGAAACCCTTGCTGACAGGTGGTTTGCTTTGCCAGGTGCGCTGGGGAGGCTGGCTGGGTGGTTGTAGGTTTCTTGGAGCACTTTGGGCAAGAATGGCAGAGTCGGCCTCAACGATGCGGCACCGACTTAATCTGCAAGCACTATATGAAAAAGGCTCTTGATGACATTTGGCTTCACTCTGGTCGTTATAAGAGAAAGTACAGGTTCCCATTATGAAACAGACAATTTAATTAGTTTTTATGCTATGTGTTTGTACATGCAGTCTGTTATTTCTCCAGAGCATTGATCTACTCTGGCTGACTAATGTCAGCTGAATCACAATTTTTTTTTTTGTTGCAGTTTATGTTGCAACAAAAGTAGGTATTAAAAAAGGGCTTGGTGCCGTTCGGGTTTCAGACGGTTAGGGCCTGTTTCAGCCAGCAGGCTTCTAGTATGCAGTTATGTCAGGAAAAGGGGAATAATAGAGGGACAGGTTAAGACAGCGTGGCAGCTGCTGTATGGGCTTCTTTTTCTCACACTCGTGCCGCTCAGTGTTGGCCTTGTCTCGTGAGCAGCACATGAGACAGGCGTGAGTTTTCAGCAGTAAAGGAGGAAGGAGAGGTGGTGGCAGCCAGAGCACGTAGAGAAAAATGGATGGATAAGAAGGGAGAGAGCTGTTCCGTTTGTCTTTATCTCAGAAGTAGCCACCAGCTGATGGGGTAATCGTTCTTAAAAGATCTAGGCCTTGCTGGAAGCTTGAAAGTTAAATGGTACGGTATCGCTGTCTGTTGGCAGTCTGTTTCCTGTGACCAGCAGAGCGCTCGTAGCCTTTTACAGCTGCACCCATCGCTGAGGAGAAAGGATTGAGAGAGTTTTTGTAGTGCAGCAGTGAGTAGACATGCAGTGTTTTATCCAGGTTTACAGCTGCATCATTGCCTTCCATTTATTAACATGCTTTTGAGCATATCTGGCCATCAGATGAGGCGATGTATGTTTTAATCACTTTGTTCTAAGAGTCAGGTTCTGAGATTTGGAGGAAGTGGTGTCATTTTATTTTTCACAATCAAGATAGTGAAAAATTATGTTAAGATATTACACTACTGTATAATTGTGGTTTTTTTGCAGTGCATGACCCCTCCGCACAGCCCTGACTTTGTTGAGATATCAGCTGCTATGCTTCTCTCCTCACAAGTCACTTATTCCAAACCAAGGACTGTCATGGCGAACACAGCTGCCTGCTCAGTCACATCAGCGACCAGTGCCTCTCCCATAACCAAGCCATCCGTTACCAACATGGAGCGACAGTGCAGTCGGAAGCCAGTGATATCCGAATCCCTCGCCCCTCAGCCTTGCAGGGCCATGGCAACAAGCGTGATACGTCACACAGGTGA